CAGAACTGATTGATCTGCACAACAAACAGCTGCCTGATCTGTGCAACTTCTCGAGCGCGGGGCTCTTTGTTTACCATGAACCCAGCGCGGTTGTTAATATTTTATGACGAGTCACGTTACACAGTTCCCCTAGATTTGAGAGGAGCGATCCTCGGAAACATGAATCTCAAAACTGAATTTTAAAGATTTGCCAAAGCCAGCTGGCCTGGGGAATATCATAGTCTTGTTTTTCCATGATGATCTCCATGTGGTTTGGAAATCAGACAGACAACTAGACACAATATGTTTTGTTTTTTCATTCAAGTCCAATTACCCCTTTGGTCATGCAGTCTCCTCAGAATTTATTTGCATTGCCAAAGTGTGGATAATTTAGCTTTTGCTGTTGTTTACATAGGTGGATACTGTCGCTGTGTTGTAGGCCTACTGTACCCACCTGTTCAGAGTGATATATGTAGTTATATATGTACTACTATTTTTACTGGATATTGGAAGAATAATGAAATGATAGTATTTCCTTGTTGAGACATACTTTTTTAGGATCACTTGTTTTAATTAGCTGCGGTTTATGTACACCAGCTGTGTGGTGACACTGGATATTTGCATGACTTGAACAGAAAGCTTTGTAGTGGCAGCATTTGTAGAGAACAGCCTTCGCTTTACTGGGAATAATGGATGGCTTTGGATCAGGCCGGATGTTTCAGCCAGACACCAGGTTTCTGTTTTCACTCCTTGTTAATGTTACAACAGGTTGCTTGGCAACCCCCACCCCCCACCACCGAACCCCCTGTCTGCTTTCACCGTCTCCTGCCATTGGATGAAGTGGATGGGGAAATGAAGTGTTATGCGTTGGCTTTTCAAGGTCGGTGGCGCACAGAACCCCCGCCCTGATCACGGATGCACGTAAACAAAACCGTGAAAAGATCATTTATGCTTTGGTGATAGATTTAAGCAGCGCCCGCCTCCACTGCCGTCACAAGCACCACACGTCCCACACCAACCCCCAACCCACCCATGTCAGCGCTGATGGAAAACACCAGCATCGCAGCATTTGCTGGCAGATAGTTTAATGAGAATCAGCAGACGTCTTGACTAAAAATCTCACCGACCAATCCAGAATTCTCAAGTGACACTTGTACGCCACAGCTTTCTCAATCGCTCACTGCAACATGTAACAAAGAGTAAGGACCATCTAATATTTTGCCACCACCTGTGAAGCGGGGCTGTTACAGACAGTGCTGCCTGCCTCTGTTTGTTTCTGGGTGTGACGGGGACGAGTCAGGCTGCACCGGCATTCCTGAAATAGATGGATGATGGGGACCAGTTGGAGTCCTGCTGCACGCTCATTTCACACGAGGATGCCTTCATAGCACTTAAAATTGCTGGATTATCGCATCGCTGTTTATATTCACGTTTAGCCGCCATATCCTATGACTCAATTATCAAGTAGTGCTGTCACATAGGCGCTCGGAGAGTTATATTAGGGAACACGCTCAGAGCTTCCAGTCCCTGTCAGAGTCCAAACATTCAGCGGAGATGAGGAAACACTTTGAGCGCACTCCGTGACAATGATTTGAATTGTCAGCGCCGCTCACCTAATGTGCAAGTACCTCCCATTATCTAAGCCGGGAGGAATCTGTTGTGCACAGCTGTGCTCATTATGGAGTTATGAGATTAAATAAACGCCATGTCTTATTCATACTACTTATTATGGACTTTATTTTTTTCCAATTATGTCACTCTGTTTTCATCTGAAACTTTTTAAACTAAACTCAGCTCCTTTAAAAGTAAACTATCTGAAAGTCCCTTAAGGAGACACCGCAAAGCTAGTTGGATATTCAGTGTTTATCCTCTCTGTGAGGCCTGTGAGCCAAGCTCTCTCACTCTTGGAGTCAAGCCTGGAGCCCTTGCTGTGAAGATGTATCACCCTGGGTAAATTGTCAGCTCCCTGACATTCTTATTACGCTGGCTCTAAAAGCCTAGCAGGCATGTTAGAAGGAGCCTGGCTCTCTAACACAGTGTCTGTAACAGGCGGTTTGGTCCATGCAGCCAACTGCAGTCCTCCCCAGGACCTCGGCACGTACCAGCCAAGTGTTTCCTGTCCCGGGGATCTGGCCATGGTCACTTCCAGTAACTGTCTGGGCTTCTCGGGGATGCGTTGGCAGGTCGCTAGCCTCTCTGAGCGATGGGGAACACATCATACAATGACAAGTGTCATGAGTGGGTTTGTTTTCCCTCCAAAAAGGACCTTTTTATCTACAGGTGAAGAATTATCCTCAAAATAAGCCCTCAAATATGATAGTGATACTGCAGGATCGCTTTAAACTCTTCTTCAAAGAATTCAAAGGCATAGAAGCTGTCTTCATACAACCCCAGCTTAAGCTCCTTCCATTATCAACACAAATGTGTAATCCTGTTCTCAGGACTGTAATGAGGGTAGTGTGTAAGTTACATACATTTCCTTTTATGCTGCAGTTGTTTGAAATGAACTTCAAATAGCTTTGGTTGAGGAATGTGTAGAATCCAAGGCTGGTGTCCAGTGTGGAAGCTGTTTATGGAAGAGAGTGGGGAGGGTAGAAGGGTAGGTGGGGGGTCTCTTCTCAATTAGGAGGATAAGCTGCTGCTCCGGAGCAGCCATTTCGAGCCATGTTTGGAGCTGTTTGGTGGGATCTGCACATAGCACTGGATAGCTTCTCCCCTCTCTGCCATTTGTTGACAAAGCAGAAGTCAAACTGCGTTACATAACAGCTCTTTCTCTCCATCTATAGTACAGCTGAGCGTGTGAAGAGAGCTCTTTTGTGTTGACATGGCTCACTTTTAAGGCAGCCTCTGACTGTTTCACAGAGACCCCTACCCCCCATGGAGGGAATGCATTACAGTTCAACTTTGTATCACCCTGCTTTGTTTAGATTTGAAAATGGACAGACAGGAAATTTAGATAATCCATAAGATCATACAGATGGAGTAATCTGTGGTGCCTGTAAAAATGCTCCAAGAGCTTAAATATTGAAGTCATAAATCGATTCAGGGAAAAATCTATTTACATAAGAGCATGTAGGGTTTTACACTAAGGTTAGAAGTGATAAGTTAGTCATTTTGGTTAGTAAACTCCATTCACAAACAAGTGATTGATGCACAGAGTTTTAAAATAATGCCAAATAATAATCTAATAAAATAGAAATAACAAAAAAACAGTGAGCTTGACGCACAGTTTTGTCAGACAACTTCAATAAAAATTTTCCAAAAGGAAAGTGCCAAAACTACAAGCAAAGCTCGAGGTCCAGTTTAAGATAAGGCTCAGACGAAGAAAATCTGTACAAGACATTGTGTAATTACACAGGGGATAAAGAATAACAAATTACAGTATGTGTCTATATGAAAACTATCCATCCATGCATCCATTTTCCAGTTTATTGAGCCAGGGTCACAATGTGACTGGAGCCTGTGGTATCCAGCATTAGGTGAGAGCCAGGGTACCAACGGACAGGTCGACGGCCATTCACAGGGTTAACGCAGAGAGCCAGAAAACCATTCATGCTCACGTTTAGAATGACGTGCTTGTCTTTGGACTGGAAAACCTGTACAGGCACAGAACATCCAAACAGAAGGACAATAATGTTAAAAATTAGGTGCTTTGTTGTGTTTTGTTTATTACACTTTAGGGAGCAAACCTATTCAAGGATGAGAATAAAACAAGAGAGGCTTTCAGGCTGGTTTGTAAAGTAAATACAACTGCTAACATCTTTAAAACCCACCACATCTTTAAACACCCCACCTCCCACTCCGTGTAAATATCGGAAATGTTTCTCAAGCAAGTGAAGAATTGCATGGATATTGCAAAATTTCCTTAAAAAATTTCTAGTATGTATCGAAAAAATCCTGGACGGACGGACGGATGGATGGAACAACCAGGACATAAAGAACAGGGTCTATGACTTATTTATACAGATAAATTCGCGGGTTCTTTTCTGTATTGAGCTTGTAAAATCATCAGGGGAAAAAGGGTTGTCAAAGATTATATAAGTTGTTGAAATTTCTCTTCCTAACACGGCGATGTTCCATGAGAAAAAAAATGTAAATATTTGTTGGTACCATTATATAACTGAAGGAAGTTCTCCCTGATCCAGGGAGGCAAAACTTTAAACAATAAAATCAGATGTCCTGTGGACACAAAGAGCCACCCGCATCATTTAGGAGGACGAAGAGTGGTTCAATCTTGACTGTTTTGTGAAAGATTGTAGCTAAACTCCTTGGTAACTTTTTTTTTTCAGTACCTCAGTGTCAAACGCCTTTGCCAGATACCCTTTTCCCTGTTTTTATTGATATTAATACAGTAAACAATGTAGTTTTCCATCATAGAGTAAGATAAATTTCATGTTTAAGAAGCTAGATTAATGCTGGGGAAGAAAGCTTTCCATCAATCTTAAAATTATTCAAGATTGTGGGGAAGATAAGATTCAGGATTTCAGAAAGTACTCAACGTGAAAACAGAGAAAGTTGCCATATTTTTTCTGTTTTATATGTAAAACTTTTAAATGAATCAGCAACAAGTGTTTGAATACTGCCCTCGCGCCGGGAGGGAGCCTTTCTTTTGAATCAGGGATTCTGGGAACCCATCAGCTACTGTGCTGGCTAAGCTTCTGGGTGCAATGGGCCTTGATGATGGGGGCTTTCAGTGTAGCCAGCCAGTGGGCTTAGAGTTCCATTTCTGCCTGCCAGCAACTGTTTACGAATGCAGGTAAATTAAAAAGAAAAAAGCCAATAGAATCCTCGTCACACGATGGCCCGCTCAGACGTGAGTTGTGAATAGCGCTGGGACTGCAGGCAGATTCCGGGAAACCCGAAAGCATCTGTGGCATTGAAGACCTTATGGGTGGCTGAATCATCCAGTAGCAAATTGCAGCTATCATCTTTGGTCTGCCTCTCTGTCTCTCATCTGCTGTCCTGCGTGAGCATTTTAAGAGGCAGGAGGATTTCCACAGTTGTTGAGTGGGTGCAACATTCCCAGGTGGCATGTGGTGACAGGTGCATCTGAACACGCCTGTTGTCGCAAGCAAACAGACCCCCCCTGCATAGCGAAAGGTCAAGGTCAACAATGGGACTGTTCCGCCCACATGAGACCCTCAAAGCTCGGCCGTGCGGCTCACGGGGCTTCAGAGGATCCTGATGTACGTCGTGGAATAAGGGCTGTTTGTACACATCATCAGGAAGGTAATGTATCTCTCTCTCCAGACATGCAGTGACGCCTTGGGGTGGTCGTTGGCTTTTATGAGTTGTTTGTTTTGGCAGTGTTGGTCACACCAGGGAGCTTTCGTTCAGTAGGAGGTTTATGTATCTGTGTGTGAGAGAGAGCGTTGTGTTGTAATGGAACTGAGAGATGCATATTGGATGGATCATCTGGGCTTTGCTGCTTTTAGATAATGGCAGAGGTCAGAGCTGAGAGGGTGTTTCACTGACTGTGATGTGAATATAATGACACCTACCCTGTTAATTGTTAAACTGTGAATTTGAATTTAACTCTTTTTTTGGTAAATGTTATAAGACTTAGTTTCTACATGTCAGACTTGTTTTGTTTTGGGGGGGTTTCTGAGAAATCAGCACAAATAACACTTAATAGCACATCCGCTAGCTTTAAAAACAGGAAAGTCAGGCTGTCTTTGGAACCTTTGAGCCACTAACTCAAGGCCCACTAACTGGTCTGCTGAACTTTGAACAAATTCAGCAAATAGTGACTTAACTTCATATCCACTAAGCCAAATAGACTCATAACAGGACCCGAGTGCACAGGAGCTTCCTGGATTATAAGGAATGACAGTGAATTTAGATAATGTTTTAATCAGATGGCTGATGTAGCGTCTTCTTATTTTTCTGTTTGCCTTGGCCCGGCCCGTGCTGTCCTAGCAATGCTCTGCCCTTTTTTTTACAGTCTGGATGAATGGTGCTCTCTGCCCTGCTGTGCTCAGAAGCACCTCTTCCTAAAAAGGCCAGGGATGATCTCTGCTCTGTGTGTTTATACAGCAAACTAAACGCTGTCAGCTGTCATACTCGCTCTATCTGTTATATGCCAGAATTTCAAACACACTCAAAATGCTCTTTCTACTGTAAATTTCTCCATCTCGGGGTTCATGTGAGGATACAGCGGAAGCAGAACTGAGATCAGAGTAAGCACTCCTCAAAGGAATGCCTGTTAATGGTTTTGGAAATGAGATCATGGATGCTTTGCCTCTCCGGGATGCAGGGGGTCAAGAAGCAAGCTGATTTTATTAAAGAGGGACGGGAAATAAACACACGGTTTCTGATGATCAGGGACGGCTCGGCTCCAATACTGGAAAACGTTTAAAAAGGTTTTTTGCTTTGTGTCTCCTTGGGACTTGTTTGGAATTGCTCCCATTTTCCCTCATCCATTTTAGGCCTATTTGTGGAGGCTTCCAGCTGGAACATCAGCCTGTTCTGCAGGTTGGCTTATTTACCGCCATGTGTAAACAGAGAGCACACGGTGTCCCACGCAAACTCAGAAGAAAAGGAACAACTTTAAAAGCAGCTTAAAATTTTCATTGCAGAGTAAATTCTAGACGGCTTTTGCTGCTCTGGCTTTTGCTCACTGTTTTCCTCTTAGTTTACAAATGAAAATGAAAAGAAAACACTCTTTGTGTCTGTTTGTGTATATGAACAAGTAACTGTTTGAGTGTCTTGGTGAGTGTGTTTGCAGTCTTAATCAGTCTTTTTCTTGGCATTTGAAATGGGGATGTCTCCTAAATCAGCCATGCTGCCTGAGCACAACGGCCAGATGAGCAGTAGGAAGTTTCACAGATACTTTTATGGTGGCCGTGCTCTGACTTCTGCATGCGCCACTGCTGGAGCTTAGAGCAATACGGGTTACTTTTCTCCTGTCTTGTTGTCATTAAAGGGAAGCACATGTGCAATTTTTGAATTTATATCAAAGTGAAAAGTACTGAAAGCACTGAATTTGATTCTCAATAATCTTATCTTAATTATCTTTGCTGAGTCACAGTAGAATTGTACAGCAAGAATGCATTGAACAGATCTTTGTGGCATCTGATCCATGCTACCGATGTTTCACTGCAACTTTTAGTATCTGTAACATAAGTTGTAATGTCTCTCTGGATGGAAAAAAATCATTATATGTTATATAGACTGTGCTGTATTATGTTCTAAGCAAACAATGGCTTGAGTTTGAAAGTTTTTCTGAATTAAACAACACTTTGAATTACTAATATAACTTAATGTGAAAGAGCCTTCAGATGATTTAAACAGATAAAGTTCGCTGCCTTCCTGTGTTGTATCTCATTTCAGTGTGTAACCCAACCACAGAAGCACAACCACAGTTTCAATAGCTGTATGTGGTTCCTCATTAAAGCTGTCTTTGCAGTGCCTTCACTATTAATGCCAGTGCTAAAGCAAATCTTACCCGTAAAAGACATTTTCTGTGTATGTTATATTCCTTCAGTGCATACAGTCATCCATTCTAACAAGCAGAGACCTGGCCCGGTTATCAAATCCATGCTCCTCAGTCCATCTGATGTGAAGTTTATTGAGAATGATGCAGATGTTTCCACTGCTGCGGTGCTACATTTGTCAGACTAAGTCATGAACATTGGAGGGAAGCACAGGTGACTGTAGATTAAAATGAACACGAGTGGATTTCTTTATAGGTGCCCATAGATCCAAACCCTTTCATCTCTTTCTGCTAGGACCTGAAATGAATTGAAAATTTTGTTTTGTGCCTCCAACAAAAAGTTATTTAGTTGTTGTTCATAAAAAATTTTTCTGAATTCTGTCTGGATCTTTGTGTAGCTGCAGGTTAATAGTTAATAATACATCATAGGAATCTATCTTGGGGAATCCTCCTATTTAATAGTCTTCCATGTGTTTACTTTCCAGGGCTCTCCAGCAGAGGGCGGCGTAAGACCAAGCGCAACTCCCAGTAAGTCAGCTCTCAGTCTAAGCCTATCAAATAGTTAATTTAACCTCATCTCCTCTGTACCACAATGATGTGAATTCATCACTTGCATGGCATTAAATCGATCACGAGCACCCTTGTTAAATCAGATAGTGAATTGCTTTAATGAACAGCTGATAGATAACTGCTGGATAATTGCTTCAAATCTTAAAAGTGGGATGTTTTGCCTTAAATTTTTTTCATAATCACACACAAAAAAACTCTTTTTGTTCCTTCCTGTGTGTTTGTTGTGTTAAAGTCCCTTCAGGTCCTCGAACAGTCTGTGCTGTCAGGATTACACCTGTGAAAAGCATGAAAGGCTCTCCTGACCTGATTCCCACCCCAGGTGATGCATCCATGTGGCTCATCAATGTTTCAGCTACTACAGTTGTGGAAACCTCATACTCACACAGAAGACATAGAATGTGGTCTTCAAAGTCACTTGTTGAGAATTGGGTGTTAATTTAACGAGGGAATAAAGAAATTCTGCATAGAGCAAGCTTCAGGCGCTCTACTTTCACCTCTGGCGGGGTGCTCATGGTAATTAGTTTTACAGGACAGCAGGATATTAATTTGATGGCCTGGTTTTGATGTAACAGTTCTATTTTGGCGATTTGGAGCATGAAGTAGCAGTAAGTTGGATTCTCAGCAGCAAGACGTTCCTTAACAACCACCAAAACAAATAAATAAATAGCAGCTAAAGTGAGATTTTGAATGTTTTCAGATTTGGACCCGAGCAGAGTTTGCAAAGGGAAAGGCGTGGTGACCCTAAGGGCCACTCTCGTCCACATCGATGATGAGGACTGCATCAGCGATGAGCCAAACGTCATCTCAACACCAAGTAAGTCAGGACAGCTGCCACAGTTGTTTCGTAACAGCTCTCCACATGATGAAGAGAATATTAAGAGGTTAGCAAGAATAACATGGCCACGTGTGTGTGGTGGTGGGGGACCAGGAGCACATCCGTGTAAAATGTGGACAGAGGATGTCAGTTTGGCCGTAATTTAATGGGCGTTTCGTCATGTTTGTCAGCATTTCAAGTGTTTTTGCAGGATTATATAACTACTCACGTTTTAAAGTGTATGCTCAGCTGGGCACGCTCAGAGCCGTGATGAAGGGCGACTGCTCATATTTTCATACAAGTGTCAAAGAGGTCTTTTGTTGTGGCCTGCCCACGCTGCACTTTGGAGCAGGCAGCCTTAACTGTGGGCTCGTTTGTTGTGCAGAGCGGAATGGAACCGGTCTGGAGGCTAGCCAAGGCTTTTGGGGAGATGCTTTAATTGTTGTAGAGTCTGAATATAAAGGCCAGTGGAACAAATGGCCTTAACAGCTAACTGAATAGGCACTTTGTTCTTGTGACAAAGTTCAGAGATTGTGGGAGAATCCTTCTTCTTTTTTTTCTGGGGATATTAACAGCCCCATGCATGAAAACCACTAAGGAAAGCATTCACACCCTGCAGAATGAAATGGAGATTTATTTTATCTGCAATTATCTGTTATGATTTGCTGTCATAAGCTCGGTCAGAGAATTTACTTTTTAGCATCGTCCCCAGTGTTTTTGTTCTTGCCGCGCTGGCTGCCAAACTAAGAGAGTTTTGGACCCTTTTTAGGTGGCTGGACAAGCCAGATTAATGGAGACAGCTCTAAAGCAGGACTGGCTGAGGGTGGCAGCAATGACACAGCCGATTTACCTCCTGTAAACAACACTCTGTGCCAGGTACGTTTACTTCCACCCCATTTAACACACGATCTTGGTTTGATTTTATGAGCACTGATTGATCTTGTTATTTTAGGGTGCTGGTTAGATGTCTTTTTTTTCTTCTTGTTTTTATTACAGGACAGTTTTTCTTTCTCTTGACTTGTAAACTTGTATCTTCTGTCACTTTCAGAACAATTCATCTGAGAGCATAAAAGAAAATCAAGCTCCGTTCTCCACTGACATTCAGAACTCGGTGACATCGACTCCCAGCTCTGTTTATCCCTGCACCAGCATAGTTAACCCCACCATAGTCCTGCTACAACACAACAGAGGTGAGCACACCTGTCTGTAGGTTGGGGGCGACAGATATTAAGAAGCTTAAAATTGCTTGTGTGCCCTTTTAGGGAAGCTTGGTGGTATTAAGTCATATATATGTCACTCAGACCCACTGAATGTTGCACTGGAGCACCGGCAAAACACACATGCAGAGGGACCAGCTGCCAAAACACAGAATATCCTCAGCTTACAGTTCAGGCACTGGTTGTGTTGCTTTTCTGCTTATCACTCCGCTACATCTTTACTTAGCGAGTAGATGTTTTCTGCTGTGTCAGTGTTCAAAGTCTCACATGGAACATTTAACGGTGTTGTTGTCTCTGTCCGCGTTACATGTATAACAACTGCTTTCACACATCACTGCTGAGTCACGTTTTACTTGCCATGTCTCTGTCCGTGTTTGTTTCACAACAGAACAGCAAAAGCAGCTTTCTCATTCTGAAGGTACGCACTGAGGTCTTGTTGATGTCTACAACATATAACACTTTTTTTTTTCATTCGTTCGGCTGCTCGCAGAAGTGCTGCTTTTATTAAAGCGCAACACCTTTTTCATTTCTCGACTGAACCATCTGTGTGCTCACCACCCCCCTTTTCCCGGTTTCATGACTAACTTTTGTTTGTTAGTTTGATACAAGCGTCATGAAGTAATAAGTCAAGATACTGGCGCCAACATGTTACCATTTTTGGGAACGCAGTACGATGCTCAGGTTATACAGAACACATTTCATTTCCTTTTTGTTTGATGCTGTTTTTCTTTTGTGTTGCTTCTTATCAAACCTGGGATTTTAATCTTAGACTTTATTGTTCCCGTCACCAGTGGGTTACATGGAAAAATTACTGATTAGCATGAACTTGAGTTTTGTAGGCCGGCTTCTGTTCTTTCATTTATTTACTTGACATTGGACAGACCTTATCCTTATCATTTAAATCCAAGTGTGTGTGACTGAGCCTGTCGTACCACTGAGAAGTCATGTAGAAAACAAAGACAATATACTTTCTGATATTTGTCATGTATTTTATGTAAAAGGGGCATGAAAGGCAGTATACCCAAAATGCATTGTGTAGCTTACTAGGATGAGCTGGTGACCCATATTCCAAAGACATTTTTCATCTGGATTGCTGGAAATACACTGGTGGCACTATTATTAAGAGTCTCCCTGTTAAGTTAAAAGTTGAGTTTATTAGCAGTAGAAAACACACGTAGCCAGCTCAGTAAACTGAGCTACAGGCTTACTCTGCTTGGTAGAGCGGTATTAATATCTGAATCACTTCACTGAGTGAAGTATCCCAGTAAGTAATGGTGGTTTCCCAGCATAAACAATAAATTGGTGGTGGAAGTAACTTAAGTAAATAATGTACTGCATCTGAAATGTTCTGAAAAGTTATTTCTTGCACAAATTTTATATAATCTCTCTTCATGCTTCTTGGTTGCTTGTGCTGCCATATCACTGGAAATGTGTTGTGAGCTTAGCTTTCTTTTAGCTTATTTTTCTTGTGCTTCACAGACCCAACCCCAGAAAGGGACAAAAGCCCCGAATCCAGAAGTGAAACTGTCAGTCCAGTCCCTGAAATGGACGGGAAGAGGCAGCGGCTATCACTGCACTCCCCTGTGCTGAGTCCTCTCAACAAGCCCATTGTGCCTGTACGGGTGAGCGATTAAACCAGCTGTCGAATGAAGACTAATCGACTCTCTGTAAATGTTTATTAATGGGTGCTTTGTTTAGATAACACATGAGTGATTAATGCTACAGTAAAAGAGGTATTTACACAAAAAGCATGACCACATGTCATGTTTTTGATGTGATTATTATTTTTATTTTTATTAATCGTTGTAATAAATATAATATATAGTCCTCTAATCACACTCATAGCAGGTGTGTGTTACTAATAGCACTCTCACATTTAGGTGTCAGCTTCACAATAGCACTGCATCAGAATTAACGTTAAATGAGATGCTGTCATTCTCATTTGTTGCACTTTATTAAATGAAACAAAATGCTCTGAGAAACTCAGACAGGGGAACGTCTTCCTGCTCGAAAAGGATGCAGATGATGCTCTTCTGAAATTCTCATTGACTGGTTGTGAATTAATTGTTCCCACACTGTAATTTCAGAACACTGAAAAGTCCAAAGACTGGTATAAGACAATGTTCAAACAGATTCACAAAATACCTGGTAAGTCGTTTCTTTTTTTCTACTCTGTGTTGTTTCTCTGTTTGATCAGTTTTGCCTGGTCTGTTTCTATCCCTGTGTGTCTTTATATATGTGTCTCTGTGTTATGTCATGCTGTCCTCTGTCTCTCCATCATTGTGCATAGAGCCTATTGAGGAAAACCCTTACCGTCCCACCTACATATTCCCTGAGAGCTATGAGATTCAGGTGAAATCGAAAGGTATCTGATGGCAGTAACTCCACTCTCGTTGGCTTTACTAATCTGCAGCCATCTTGGACCCTCTTAAATACTTCAGCTGTGTTTAATCTTTGCGCTAGTACCTACTCGCCTCGAAACGACCGAGCTCGAAGATGCAGAAAGGCTTTAATGTAATCTTTTCTGACATGTGTTTCTTAACAGTCACTATTACAGTAATCTTTAAATACACCGCAAGGTTCGTGCAGAACTCCTGATCACAGAACGAATCTGTTTGCATCTAATACTGTGCAAAAGTCTGGTGCCACCCCTTGTTTCGTGGAAGTGTAGAATATATAAGGAAAAAATAGAGTTTGTACAGTTCTAACAAACTTGAAAGTCACTATTTGGTTTGACCACCTTTATTTTTCAACACAGCCTGAACTCTTTTTGCGAAGTTTTCTAGTAATTTCTGTAAGTACTCTTTAATAATAGTTCTCCGGGCTTCTTGAAGCTCAGTCACAGCTCTTCTTTGGATTCTGGCTGCCTTTTGTTCTGTTCTCAGTCAAGATGATCCCACATGGATTCAGTAATGTTGAGGTCCAGGCATTGGGGAGGCCAATCCACGATTGAATGTGTTCCTGATTGTGTGTTTTTTTCTGCCCAGGTGTGCTTTTACTGCATTGGCAGTGTGTTTGTGATCACTGTCATGCTGAAAAACAAAGCTGTTGCCAATCAGATGCATTCTAGATGTTATTGCATTGTAAAAGGAGCTTGCAAAGAAAAGTGTCTGGTCTTCTTTAAGTTGCTTGAAGACGTTTCACCTCTCATCCGAGAAGCTTTTTCAGTTCTAAGGTCAAATGGCAGAACATTGGTATCCTCAAAAGAGCGTCCTTTATCCTTAAGATGCAGATGGACTGCTGAGTCTTGGCCTGTGGAGGTGGCTCTTCGAAGCCAATGTTCACATTTTGGACAGAGAGGACAGATGGTTTGAAAGAGGAGTGAAAGAAGCCATCTATGTCCACTGTGAGCGGCCATCTTTGAACAGAGGCGGGGGTTTACGACACCAACTGTCTGCCATCTATAATCCAGTTTTGAGATCCCTCTCCAGACGACTTAACGCCCACTCACATCCTGGGCCATCTGACCTCAGGAAATCGCATGATAAGGTGGGGCCAGGTTTCACAATGAGCTCCCCTGAAACCCTGGCTGATTGGGACCCACACCCAGTTTCACACCTTGGCTCAGGTGATTAGAGGATCATCAGGGGGTCCTTTTGTCCCTCTGTGGGGGGAAACTCCCACTGGGTTTAAATCTGGGACTCTCCGCCATTTGACCTTAGAACTGAAGAAGCTTCTCGGATGGGAGGTGAAACATCTTCAAGCAACTTAAAGAAGTCCAGACGCTTTTCTTTGCAAGCTCCTTTGACTACGATGACCTGGATGACTGAGAACCTTCACAGACATATTGCATTGTAAACCAAAATCTGATGATGCTTTTCTGTGTATATAATTTCATCGATTTTCATCTTCAGTATCCCAACTGAAATGCAACACCAAACCATGACAGAGCCTCCGTTATGTTTTACAGATGTCTGTAAAGACTCACTGTTGTCCCTCTCTCCTGACCTCTCCTGTACATACTAATGAACCACGAATTTCACATTTGTATTCATTACTCTGTAAGACCTGTAGCCACTGATTTCCAGTCCAGGTTTTGTGTAATTTGACATATCTTATCCTTTTCTTCCTTAAGAATGGCTTCTTGATACTCGCTCTTCCACAAAGACCATTTCTGATGAGGCTTCAATGAAAGGTAGATGGATCAAGTTAAGGGCCGGATGCACCTCTTAGGTCCTGTGTCAGATCTTTGCTGGATTTTTTCCAATTTCTTAAGTACATGACTTTCAGATGCTGTTCGTTTGCTGTATGTAGCTTTTTGGGCTTTTTTTTTTTCTTTTGTCCTCAATTTTTCCAATTTCCTCACATTTTTTTAAGGACATGCTGCAATGCCGAGACACGCTGCTGGTAACAAAGTGACTAAAAATGCAGTTTAAAAATTGATTCTTTGCTGAGTCGTTTGTCATTTGTAAAAACAACACAGGTTCAGCCCTTGTTAGGCGCCTGGTGCTTAAATGATTCATAGGTTAGTGTGGCTTAAAAAAACATTTCTCTGAAAATGGTCAGGTACAAGAACTTGTCATGGTCCTGGGCCATGTTGGCCCAGTATTCTTAGTTTTTATGTGTTTTTGTATTTTGTTCCCTATTTAAGATAAGATAAGATAGAACTTTATTAATCCCTCGGGTGGGTTCCTCTGGGAAATTCGATTTCCAAAAAAAGCACAGCAACGACCGAAGTTACAGTTACAGAATTGTTATATATATATATATATATATATATATATATATATATATATACACACACACACACACACACACACACACACACACACACACACACATATATAAATACAGAAACAAATATAAATAAAATATACAAAGGGGATAAATAGAATAAATAGGAATAAAAAAATAAAAATACAAGTGAATTGCACATTTCAAGTATTGAGTCTATTGCACTGTTGACTATTTACAAAAAGTATTGCACAAGGTATTGTACAGTGAGGTGAAGAGGCACTACATTTATGCCTTGGTTCCTAGGTTATTTAGTTAAGATGTTCCTTATTTGGTTACCTCCTGTGTGCCCCTGTGTATCTGTGAGCCCTCGTCTCTCCTTGTGTTTTATTCCATGTTTTCCCCAGCCTGTTATGTCTGTGTTCTCCCCGTGCTCTCTCTCCTCCTGTCTGAACCTCTGTGTACTTCCTGTTTTACTTTGACAGTCTCTCGTCAGTATGCGTCATGTTGTGTTCGCTCCTGCCCTGTCTCGTTATGATTATCTGTGTCAGCTGTGTTCCCCGTGTGCTCCCACTTCCCTCGTTAACCCTCTGTGTATTTATGTAGATGTCTCCATCAGGTCAGTGTCGTGTTGTCAATGTCTTCTCCCCGAACCGGTGTGTTTTTCTGTGTTCCCACGGTCTTCTGTTAGTATTCCCAGTTTAGTGTGAAACCTGCAATAAAGCAGTGATTTTGAGTTCAGTTCCTGCCTCTGTGCGTTTTGCGTTTGGGTCCTCATCTGCCTCCACACAGCCGGTTCATGACAGAACTGGACTGAAGTGAAAAAGAATACACAGAGAACTATTCCTCAAAGCTACTTAAAGAACAATATGAAGAAATGAGGGGTGGCACAACACTTTTGGACAATACTGTATGCTGTGGCATAACACAGTAGGAAAACGACAGGTGTAAATAACAAAATTATATAATGAGTGATACTTTTTATGCATAATTATCAAAAAATCCTACTTCAGGAGTGAAATAAAAATAACTAAATTCTGAGTTTTATTACAATTATTGAAACAATCATTGATTAAAGAAAAGGTTATCTCATCTACTGAAGTGTTATGATCATCCCCTGAATAATATACTATTTCCAGTTGATGCATGGATGATGCACGATGCCTTCAAGTGTATTTTTCCTTTTATATCAGAAAAATGTAATAATATTGTCATGTTCTTTTTTTTTCTGTTAACCATCTATTACTACAAATTTCAGGCTGTAATCTTTTTTTTTAATATTTTGTAGATGCTTATTCTGACTTTTCTGCAATAAGGCATCTTTTGCATTATTTCCACCACTAGGTGCTGCTGTAGTCCTACATTAAGGTTTTTAGTCTGCTACCCAGAGTTGAATCTATGCAAGATCTCATAATAATACTCTACTAACCAGTGTTTAGGTTGAAGCACTAGATGGTTAAGGTAGAGTCTGGCTCATAGTTTTGGTTTTGGATTTGCACATCTAGCCACCACAGCAAGGTTTTAGGTCAAATGAAAGGAGATGCTCAGTGATCAACGTAGATGTGTAGCTGTGACTCTTACCAGAGCTCTCTGACTGTGACAGTTCTGGCTCTGTGGCTCTACAGTGCATTACTCAGTCAGACCCTCAGTGCTCATCGATGCTTGGATCCCCTTTTAGCTCAGTAATGGTTCCCTTGAAGTGCTTTGATTTGACACTCTTTGCCTGTGTTTGGTCTAATGGAAGGTGTGAGGCAAGGGAAAAAGCAGGAAAAGAGTGTCTTCAGTGTCTTCTGAATTATTTAATACTGTGCTATATTCATTGCTTTTTAAGTAAGAAAGACAGCAAGAGATAAAATTAATAATAAATCACTTTTTATTGCTGTACTTTCCTCTTTCAGATGATGGTCCTACCCCCTTTGGTTACTTGGAAGATGGTGAGTCTGGGATAAGTAGCTGTAGGAGTTCAACCAAAATAATGTTCTAAATTTGGAGGCACTATTTACACAGTGCAAGTATTGAGGTATTTATGTTCCTATTTCCAGTGAGAGCAGTCCCACGCTCAAAAAGTGAGAATGAGGTTGATTCAAGAGGCTGCTCGATGCCAGTGCCAATGCGGTCGTCTTCCCTCAAACCCTCTGCCAAAAGGTCAGCATCTTCCATCTGCCCCAGTCCAAAGAGAAGATGTTTGCTTTGATACTTAACACACAGCACAGTTCTGTTTGTGTTTGTTAGAAGAAGAAGCTGTTCACAGTTCGGAATACTTCAAATACTGAAATACTGCCTGTGTTTACCTACAGAGTTAGTAAGTGTAGATAAGCAGGGCTTACTGTAGTGGAGCAAAAAATCTATTTATTCCCTGACTTTGAAAATCTAAGCATGCTTTGTTCCCATTGGCTTCCACCACTGTGTCCTCTAGTTTTTTGCTTGAAGTATGATTAGTGTCAACCTTCCACACCGCATGTCAGCACAGACAAAGGCCTGCCTCTGCGCTCAGAGACGTGAGTGATGGAGTGATGAAGGCAGACAGGTGATAGAGGATAAAGTGTTGCCCACAAAAGCTGCAGATGACATGTTGAGGACTGACCTTCCTTGTTCCTTGGTGTTTGTGGATGAAGCCCTGCGCTCCTAAACGCGTCGTTATCAGTGCTGCTGAAACGTCCCGCGTTGTTCTTGATGCTCATCAAAGAGGGCATGCTTTTTGTTTGCCCTATTTTTTTTTCTGTTTTTCTGAATAGTCATTTTATACTTGACTGTCTGTTAAGAAATTCTCCCAGGAAATGCTGCGCTCTGTTTTTTGTTACCAGGTCCAATCTAGTTTATCTAATCAAATTACTCATTTGGCTCAACTGTGAATTGAATTTTCTGTCCTATCATCATTAGACGCAGAGGAGGAGGACAGGGAGGCAGGCATAATGAGGGCGGACGTCATATATGAATCGTAAAAAAAAAAGATATCTTAGCCTGTGCTGGTTGCTATGGAGACTACTTGATAAGGATTGGCTGTCTTCGATCTCACACCCCACCCTTCCCCAATTCACGCCTCTCTTCACAGGAATGAGTGGGAGCCCCCAGATAAAAAGGTAGACACCAGGAAGTACCGCGCCGAGCCCAAGAGCATCTTTGAGTACGAGCCGGGGAAATCATCGGTGCTGAAGCTGGAGAGAACGGTATGCTAGCCTCCTGCCTGTTTCTCCCCCGCCCTCTCTCTTTCCCTTCCTCTCTCTGCCTTTGTGTTTTCATGTCGTGTGAGCTATTCCACACTCCACCCATCATGCGACCCCCGCACCCCCACCACCTCCACTGTGTCTAAGCTCCTGAGTGGCAGCTTCACTAACGGCTCGGCAGGCGACGTATGTGTAGCCACTACATTCCTTAAGGGTGTCCTGTTGCGGTGACAGACGATCCTGTTTGGAAGCAAGCGGAGTAGTATCACTTACAAGGATAGCCATTGTCTTCCTGTGTTCAGTTTAAGGTTATTGGGCTGAATCGGCTCGTGAGAGCATCCCGAGAGTCCCTGCACAGACACTAAACATTGATCCTGTGTGTTTACTAGAGAGGAAATGCAATGCTCTCTGTCTTATGTTCATTTCTCACCTGGACACTTTGTGATGAGGAAATGATGCAGCATTACTCAGTGTCCTTGAGAGTTATCTTTTGTGTCTCATAAGATTCAGGTGGCTGTTTTTATATTTCCCTCTTACATAATATTGAGGACATGGGAATATTCGGTATTGTAATGAAGTACTTAGTTGGTTATGTAATTGCTGTCTGAAGCCCATTTACATCAAACTAGTAGATGTTTTTAGGCAAGATCTAGCCTGATTCTCCTAATGAATGCAGTGCCAACCAGTGCATTCATTAGGAGTGTGCTCCAATTCATCCCGGGACAGGGGTAAAATAATGAGCTCTGTTGTTTTTAATTACAAGCTCAAATTGTTATAATAGAAGAATGCGCTTGTTAATGGAGGTGGTCATTTTCCTTTCAGTCCATTCATGTTACACAAAGTTGTGTTGTTCTCCATATATGACTACATTTCTGCGGATCAAGAATGAGTATGCATGTATTGTTGGACATTATGTATCTGCTTGTTAATTAGATTAGAATAAAATTGATATGTAGTTCTTATTAAATAACAGCTTTGTGCCGGTAAAAGGCTTAAAGGACAGTTTTATATCCATTTGTATTTTATAGATAGTGTGTTATCTTTGGTCGCTGAAAGTGTTTTTCCTTTCTCCCTTCTAAAGTAGTAGACCCTGTGCACGAGAAAATGCTAACTTCCTGGTTTGAGACCGGATGTGGGGTTGTACATTTCCGGTAGCTTTACTTTGCGGTCAATCGCTACTGCGAAGATATCCTCCACAATCATGTCCAAAACTCGAAAACGGAAAGATCGCGTTGAGTTACAAAGAGCAGAAGGTGGGAACACTCACCACTGTTGTGTCATAAAAAATCTAATGATCAACTTTGACGTTTAAAGAGTTTAGATCGATCAGTTGTTTACATCACTCAACACAAGCAGAACTGCATTACAAAATCAGAAGACACATCGTCCACATTCAGAAGCACATCTCTGTATAGTGACTGGTCTTATGATTTAAACAGGAAAATGTTCAGCATTCAAACTACAGGTGAAGAATAGTCAAGCCAGATGTTTCCCCTGTTATGTCGATATCAGCTAGTCAAGTACACACCTACACAGCATGTCAACAAACCGTGAAAAAAAGCCACACAAAAAATGAATGATTGCTGGTAAGGGTTTCTATACATTAGTATTTACGAAGGGTATGTTGTGACTTACCTTAAAAATTACAGTGGTCTCTCGCTATAACGCGGTTCACCTTTCACCTCGCTGTTTTGCTGATTTTTAGTGCAAGTTTGCATGCTTTTGTTTTTTTTACGTCACATTGTGTCCTGCGTCCTGATTGCTGCAGACGATCTCCTCCGTGACGTCTCTCCTGTACAGTACAGAATCGCTGCATCGATCGCTAGCAGTGTGACTCCGAAGTGCAGTACTGTATGTCAACGATGTCGACGAAACGTTTTGCACCGTCAAAAAATAAAATTGGCTACTTGATTTCACCTATCGCTGGTTATTTTTAGAACATAACACCCGCGATAAACGAGGGACAGCTGTTTACAGATACTGAGAAATATAAAATTTGAATCCCTTTTCTCTTTTGCTCTGAGGCGTGGGGGAAAAAACATCGACAAGTCGATGAACATCATTTACAGATATATTGGGTAAATGCCCAAGACATCTATAGAAATGTAAATCGCCGCTTGATTCATTCATTTGCTAAACTTGTTTTGAACCATAAACAAGGCACGAATAGGACACCGGAAACAAAGCTCCCCACAGGAGTTTCCACACCGGAAGTAGCGTATGCTAAGTGCACATAGTCTATTGTATTTGAAAAGATGCAAAGTTGCATTTAGACATTCAGCAGAGGCTAACAATATGCTTCAGTGGTTAAATAAATGAGTAAATAAATCTCAGAGTTAAAGTCATTTTCCTGTAAAATATCCTCTTTGTATTTCTCAGTGTTTTCTCTCTAAACTGGACCATAGCTTTACAGTACAGGGAAAACATCGCCAGCTGCTTGTAGTTGTACATACAGTTTGTGTATGTGAGTATTGTATTGTTGAAGGCATAATTTGACATTTTGGGCAACCTGTTGAATTGTTTTTTGCCAAGCCTTTAAATGACAAGATGTATACCACTCCATTTGTCAAAATATCTAGCTAAAGCTAGCAGGTTAGCATAGCACAAAGGATGAAAATGAGAGAAACAGCAACCCTGCTAACACTTATGAAACGAAATAACTTGTTACACTTGTGTTCACTGAATTTAAAGTGTCAGAAATGACTTCTTTACTTTTTAAACAGCAGTTTCCTGGGGTCTCTTACTGTCTGTTTCCCGCCTTTGTGCTAAGCTAAGTGACCTGTCTGCTAGCTATTGCTTTATAACAATCTTCTCATTTTCTGCTTACCAAGAAAGTAAATTAGTAGCCTTCTAAGATCTTTCCTGAACTATTCAAATATCAACTTCAAAACAATACAAATCATATCTTTAATTTATTTGAGAGCACCTACAGCGTTGCTTGAAAATTGTCCTGTTGGTTAGAAACTGGCTCAGTCAAGTCAATGTTATGGGCTCATTTCCTCGGTGTGTATATTCTGTGCTGTCTGAACTGTCTTCTCTTTGTCTTTCTCCTCCTCTTGTTACCATGCCCCTAGACTCAGGATGTAAGTCCAGAAGATGTAGATTTAGAGAATGAGCCTTGGTATAAATTCTTTTCAGAGATGGAGTTTGACAAAGCGGTAAGTGACTGCTGTCTTCAGACTTGACAGCATGTTGTATTATATTTCTATTGCATGTGATAACATCCATGTTCAAATATTGTCTAAACAAACTGTATGTCTGTAAGGACTACGTCAGTTTCTCATCCCTCTTTTATTTTTTTCCCTGATCGTCCTATATTAAAACAGTTATATGGTAATGTGTGAGAGGACTTTTTCTTTCCTCTTATACTAAAATTACTGTCATGTGTCACATCAATGTGGATTAATAATACCGATGACTGATAAGCTTTAGTCCGTCTCTGTTCACTCCTCTTAGACTTTTTATATTCGCTTTTAAATTTCTAAAAATAATCAACATGTATAATTACCAATCAGGATCAAACTTTCCAAAGGACTTTATATAGCTACTGTCATCCTTTATTATCATATCATACACAGGACTTTTTCCTCAGGTGCATCTAAAATAGAAACAATCTATTTTTGTTCCTCTTTTAACAAAAAACGAGCATCTCAGCTTTTTATTTGCACCTGTGAGGCAGAGTGAGTATATTCTATTCAGACAGCAGAAAACAGTGGCCTTTATCCATGTGCAATTTCAATTAATAGTGTTTAAAAGTTCTGATTATTGATTGGGATCTTTTGATGTTTTGTGGAAGCACCCTGTTCTTCAATGTCTTAATCTCAGAACCCAAGAGAAATCCTTTGATGTGCATCCTGCCAACTAGCATACATGTCATAAGCCAGAGGCCTGGACTGGCTGATTCAGACAGAAGTCACTCTTCACTTGGAGAGGCTGCAGTCCAAACGAGCATCAGGTTCCAAGATAATCCCAGCCACTTCAGATAATAATTGCTGTTTGTCTGCTATCTTTACCAAAGGCGTGCAGGCAGTGATGAAGCAGTATACAGTGTCATGACAAATCCATGCCTCGGGCATTAGTTGGCACCAGACAAGTGTAGCGCTGGCTTCACACAAACAGATGTTGATTCTCCTCGCTCTCTGTCAGTCAGAGACACACCCTGGATCATATGAGGTGGCACCACTGGCTACGGCATGAGATCATGTCCTAGCATCAGCCAGACGTAGAGGCAGGCTCTCCTGTTCCGGGTTTGTGTATATGTGGAGGAGGTTTAGCGGTGGAGGCGGCCGTCTCTATCTCATGGCAGCCTGGATGTTTGCCAGATGAGCTCGGCTTGATGACTGGCTCCTGTTTAATGTCAAAGTCACTTCTAAAGCTGCACCTGGTATGCACAGCATTTGACCTTAAAGGGCCAGCCAGACACACTGGCTCATTGGAGTTTGATTGACATATCAGCAGTCACTTGGTATTACTGGATTAGAGATATGGAAGGAAGTCTCTAAAAATCTCAATTGTCTTCAGTTAGTTCTCTTTCTTTTTACTACTCCTAGAGTGCTGACAAGAAGAACCTCTAAGAAGAACTTTTAAGTCATTTTATATTATTAGGAAAAATGTTCCTAAATATAATAAAAGGTTTTTGATTCCTTGGTTTAAAACAAGGAATGGCCCTGCGACAGACTGGCGACCTGTCCAGGGTGTACCCTGCCTCTCGCCCTATGACAGCTGGGATAGGCTCCAGCGCCCCCCGCGACCCTGAAAAGGATAAGCGGAAGCGAATGGATGGATAGATGGATGAATGGATGGATAGATGGATGGATGGATGGTTTAAAACAATTTGAAGTCCCTTTTTATACAACAAGACTTTGTGTAAATTCTACTTTCAAATCGTTACTTGTCCACTAGTGGCCACTTCTAGTCACTAAGTAAGAGTGACCTGTGTATGATTGCAGTGATGGCCCTCTTGATTAATAGTCACAAATTCAAGGTTCAACAAGAGCCGGAAAATGCATCCAGTGGCAGTCGTGGTCAAGCACTGGCTCATCGATATACATGTCTTGCGGGAACTGGAATTCCACACGTATCTCTGGTCAGGAAGAGCATTTTGGCCCCCTGTAACTGACATGGTGACTCCATCTGTCGAGCATATGCTGGCGTGAGGGCTGCTGCCACACTGTCTCAGCGCCGAGTTACATAGAGCCTCCCCCTATCACCTGACATATTCTAAAGGAGGCAACTCCGTAAGCCAGCTAGCTCATTGTGCTTTCATATTTAACCTATGTTATACACTTAACCTTTACCTTTAAGCATTTAGAGGAGGAGAGAAGAGGGGCGTGGAGGGCTATAACAGGCCATTCACAATGGGGAAGCTGTTTGTTTTCATGAGAGCATATCAACAGAAAACAAGGGGCTGGAAAGAATGGGATTCGTGTTACCATGACCCACTCACGATCGCTATTTTGAAAATGAACGCTGCCTACAGGAGTCTGAGCTCTGAGTAAACGGGGACACCTGTTAGGAAACATACACATGAAATTCTGCAGAAATACTGTCATTGGTGTTCCACTGACTCACAGAGGCTTATATCCATGTCCATATAGAGCATTGGACCCTTGTCACAACATGTAGTTTCATCCTTTATGCATGTCTCTTCCTGTCAAACAATCTTCTTTTTTCCACTTTTATTTTACAAGCTGGATAAAAGCATTAGTCAGCTGTCACAAAATAATTGATGTTAAGTGATTTCAGTGTCAGATTAGTTTGAAAATGACCAGTTTCCACCTTTTATATAAAGAAAAGTTTACATAAACTGACACTAATCAGGCATCTTGTAAATAACCAGATTAAGATTCCATTCATTTACTCCAGATAAGCCCCGTGCTTGTTTCCTGTTTACTTTCCACTGATGTGTGTGTGCGCGTGTGTGTAAGCCCAATTACCCTGGGGTGTCAGAGGACACCATCTTCTTCCTATCAGATACAAGGGGGGGATACAAGATGTGGTGGAGCAAGGAAGAGCCACTGATAATTCAGTGACACTTGTGTGTTCCCCAAGTCTACATGGAACATTTAGCTTTATAAATAGATCAGACTATAGACCTGCCAGCCCGATATGCCGTTCTTATAAAGACAGGCACTTATTCTGAAAGGTTATTAATGATCCTTCTGCCCTGGCAACTAAGTGTAAAGGCATGTTGTGGCAAATGAGCTGTTCAGAATGTTCCTTGTCTGGTCGTTGGTGTGGGAAGCGGACGCTAGGTCGTGCCACGGGGAAGTGGATGTGGCATTAACAGCAAGGCCGGGCTGGCTGGGGTAGGGATTGTGCAATCGTATTTGCAAACAACACTTGTGCTCTTATTCATAGTGCCCGTGTCACGTCTGTTATTTTTGCCTGCTGTGACGTCCGAAAAGAGGAAAGCAACAGAAACAGTGTGCTAAAATTAGTCTGCTGTAAACTATTCAAAATGTTGGTGCGACCATGCTGCATGAATGATCCCCCCCCCAATACACCCACACCCATATGTTTTGGAGATAACAGCAGCTACTAAAAACAGCTACTCTTACATTTATTTAAACATTTCACTCGCTTTGTGCTTCACGTGGTGTTTCTTTTGTTTTTGCTCTCTGTCTTTATAACATAATTACCTGTTTCTTTTATAATATGTTGTTTCAGTGCATTTTTTTTTTCTTTGACAAGTGTGTGAGCTTGAATATTGAGCGTGTATATGTGTGTGTGTGTGTGTGTGTGTGCGTAATTTGGCCTTCTTGCACCACCAGCTGGTTAATTGTCCCTCGGTCTGGTCCAGTGATAATGAGAGCGACCCAATATCAGACAAAAGAGATGGCTTCACCGGGAGACAGCAGTTCATTGGCTGAGCCTGTGACAGCCCCCTCCACGCATGGGCGCCCCCTGACCGATGCACGCCCACCCACCGCCCCCCTCCCTTCCACTCTCTTTACTGCCGCTTGTTTCTCCAACTTGCATGCAGGCCAAAACACACGCTTGCTCCTCCATGCCAAGCCAGACCAGAGAAGCTCTGAAACCCGGGTGCTCGAGACAGAAACGGCAGAGCAGCGAGTGAACGACAGAGAGGAGGAGAAGAGAGAATCTGGCCACAGCTAATGCTGCTGCCTCTATTCTAGCTGGAGGAGACCTTCCTGTGGATCTATCAATGACTTCTTTGTTTGGTTTGTTGCAGAGTGCCCCCTCTTTCAGCCCCTTGGAAACAGCCTCCGACCTGCAGCAGTAGTAAGTCGATGCCTCTCCTCCTTATTTTAATGTTTGTGCGTCCTCCTTCCAGTGTGTAGATTATTATTTAAGTCATCTTATGGGTATAAATATCAATGAGAGATTTCTCCACCCTGGTGAGGTCGCCCGCCTACAACCGGGAGACTCCTGCTTCCTGAGGAGATCCTGTTAATAAGGCAAAAAGCCACCAGAACAGTGTGTCCTCTGTCCGTATTTCTTTTTTACAGGGGTGGTGGTTGTGGTGTCGAGACATGGCTGCTATGTGGGGATTTATTTAAAGACAGCAACCTGGATGTCACTGGGATAGAGGGAACTTGCCCAGCTGCTGCATAACTCAGAAAACCGTTATGTCCCTTCCAATGTGTGCACAGAACTAGGATGAGCAACTGGATTATGAGAGTTGACGTTAGCTCACATTAGGACAAAGCTTTTGATCATTTTAATTTTGTCTGGTGATACTGGCATGCTGTCTTTTCTGTTTGTGTAATAAAATGTTAGGAATTTAAGTATGAGTAATAGTCACTGTCATGCGCTTACAGTCCAGAAGTTTCCATCTGCTACAATCATTATGTCATCATGGCCAAGCATTTGCAAAAGACATTCGTACCCCGGCTTTTTAATCCACTGATTTGCTGTTAATTTGAAAGGAAGAAGTGGTTGATGAAAGCCGAGTGGAATTTCACTCACCCAAAGGTTTTCAAGGGAAACCTCAGCTCATAAACTGACTTCCTTCAAAGACACATATGTTTATGGCAGTCCTCTTTTTTTTTTTTTTTTTTTTTTTTTTTGACTCTGTCTGAAGTTGAAAACTTTTCAAGAGCTGTGTGTTGCCCAAATAGCATCATTAGGCTCACGCTAAGCAAATTTGTGTATGTTTTGAGGCAGCACAGCACATGGGAGTGCGTCTTATTCTCTCAGAAATAGATTCATTAAAATTGATCTAATGAACGTACAAAAGAGAAATTTGTCATGATGGAGCAGTACGTACACAGTGACTTGCATTTCATGGAAATCCTCATCATTCCAGATAAATGTGTTACTGTTTTTAACCTGCAGGAAGTGTTGCTGCTTTTAAAGCGTCACAGTGGTGTCTGATTTTCCTTGAACCTTCCCTGGAGATTCTTCTTCTTCTAAATCTGGCATGGCTCCTGTACTGTACATTTCCTGGAGACCGTTTATGTGAATTCTTGCAAGTAAAGTAGAGCCAACGTGATTTTAATGGCTCTGTATAGCCAGCAGCGCACTTTTTTTTTTTTTTCTCTGACAGCTATGAAAGAGCTTCTTGTTGAGGTATTCGCAAGTATGTAAAACTTTGGCTTGGCAGCACTGCAGATGTTAAACACTATGGTTTGAATGGGTTTTTATATTACCAAGATGTTATTGGCGACTACGTCTCTTTAAACGGGAGGATTGTTTGTACAGAGAGAGAAGCAACATGAGTAACACATGACAGCATGGGAAAGAGAGTTAACCTGAGAGTCTTACAGGTGCATGGCAGGGGCTGATGTACCATGTGGGAATGTTCGGAGAATATTTATAGAAATCTCTGCTGCTGGCCTCTCTAGAATGCCAAGATATCTGTTGTAGCCAGTGTCTTCTCTCAACATCAGCCTCCAAATTCAGCCTTTCTCTCTCCCTCTCTCGTTTAGCTTTTTTCTGTTTCTGGTTATTTCGTCTCCCACAAGTCTGCAAAGACAGGAATTACCTCAAGATATGCTAAATAAGAACCATATGGCAGCCCATTACCCAATTTGTGTGCCTTTGGCTATCATAAAAACATTCAACAACAGCTCTTGCTGAACGAAATTGACTGTGTTTAATTAGCTGTCTGCGTTCCTGTGATTTGCTGTCTAGCTCCTCAAGCAAGTCTGGACACAGCGAGGTGGAGAAGGACAGAGGATCATCTACTGATGAGCCTGTGGCTCCAGAATGTGACCGTCATGTTTACAAGAGTGTCCTAGAGGGCGGCGATATTCCCTTGCAAGGTCTACGGGCTCTAAACAAGCGCCCCGGCAGCTCCTCCTCCTCTAAAGGTAGGATAGCAGCTACTTCACATATGTGGCCAGTAAAAAAAGCAGGTGTGTGTATGTTTATGTATGTGGACATGGTAGACAGTTCAGCCGGCCTTTAAAGGCTTCTCCTGCCGAGACAGAACCAATCAGTTAGAGGCGGTGATGCTGGACCATTCAAATCATCAGACAGGGATACATCTGTTTCTGTTTACTTTTATGTCGGAATTCACACATTTTCCTTTGCTCCCAGACCACACAGCATTGGCCAATCACCTCACAGCATTCATTTCCCCCAGAAGCTTTTAATGCCATGGATGTTTTCATCAAGCGTGTACTGTATCTGCTTTGGAAAACTCACGGAGGGAGTGAGGTTGTCTTGTTAAGTCGATGGAAGCTAACCTTGGGGCTCCCCCACCCACCCTTGCTCCAGTTGTGAGCTGCCAGTCGCTAGGCAGGCTTAGGGCAAGACTCCAGAGCGTTCCAGCGCCAGGGAGCTAAGGGCCAGTGAGGGGATGGACGAGGAGATACGCGTGAGATAAAACGAGCTCTGCTCTTCACAACCCAGCCAGACAGGGTTGAGATAAACAGAAAGGACACAGAGGGTGGGCGGGCATGAGGAAGTCAGCTGTCAGTGTGGGGTCAGAGGCTGGAATGCCTGCGCACATGGCTAGAGAGAGAAACACTCAGGTGGAGAGAAGAAGAGATGTAAGAAAAAGAGTGTAAGAGGCAGTTTGACCCAGTACATGTCAGTACATTACATTAGGGATATAAGCAGATTATAAACTGCCCACCAATACTTAAAGTTTGGTGTATTTTCCATAAAATATGACTGTTACAGGAATCTTATAAAAGAAGAGCCATTTACATCTGCTGTTCTGGACCAATTTGTGTTGACTTTTAACCATTTGAACTGTGGTAAATAAATTTGGCTCTCCAGTCAACTGACTACCACACTCCTGTTTCACCCTCCCGCCTGAGGCGCCACCTTGATCATTAGAGTCTCTTTCTATTTAAGACACAGAAGGTAGAGTGTAGACAAGCCCGAAGACATAACCAAGTGCAAGGAACACTTCATCATCATGTGTTTCTGCCTTGCGCTCTTAAAATAAAATTTAAAAAATATCTTTGTGTTTCAAAGAACAGAGCCTCCTTCTGGGCTTTTTTTTGTGGGCTGAATGGTAACTCTTTACTTGCCATATGACTTGGATAGTATATCAAGTTAACTTCCTCAGTGCGTGTGTTTTTCCTGGCAGATACGAACACGACAGATTGGTCACTCATGCTACAGAAGTGGCTCGCAGCATGCGAAAGCGTTGTGTCATTTCCCAGTGCCATCTGTAGTGCTGTCACAAGCTTAGTATAGCCAGGAACTGACATGAGTATTTCTCATAGGTTTTCATTTTTCACTGTGCAGGTCGACTCAGAATAGTTTTGGGGGGGTTTTTTGTTGTTTTTGTTTGGGGGGGGTTGCAGCCGTGTAGGAGGAGCGGTGTATTAGCACTGGTGCCAGCAGCCATTTATCACTGTAGACGTCTGTGTAATTGCTAAAAGGAGAGGAGATTTGTGTAGGAGGATAACGCAATGGAGGATAATTTTACTGCTTACTGGAATACAAATAGATAACAGAAAGGTTTTGCATTCTTCTTTGTTTGTTTTTAAAATGTCAGTTACTGTAGTCCCTGTTTAGTGAGTCCTTTATAACCTCCGACATCACATAACATTTCACGTTATATTACCCTTTTGATACTTCCTGTTTCACTCATTATGTTGCTGTTCGCAGTGATACTGATAAACGGGGAATCTGCTAGTTCTATCTTTGTAAAACTTTATCCCCTGCTGCAGCACCATGTTTTTTAGCTTTTAGCTTTTTAACAGTCATATATTACTTGATGCACAGTGCATCAAGTCTGATTCCTCTTCTCATCAACTTCTGATGGAACTTGGTCTTTATTTTAGAACTGTGCCTGACTGTTTTAGTGTGTATGTGTGTAAACCTGTGACCATTGTAATCTAATATGTTGTTTATTCTGTTGTCCTGCATGCTTGCCAGTGGATTATAAAGGTGGGAATGGCTATATAATTTCACCCTGCTCCTCTGTAAATAGTCGATCGAGTCTTGCCAGTAATGCAATAGGTAACCAATGTAAGAGTAAGAAGCCTCTATCTGCTGCCAAAGCCTGCATACCCCAAATCCTGCCCTCTAAGTTTAAGCCCAAACTGCTGCCACCCTGTGGCAACAGTAAGGACAGCAGGACTAAAGATGCCAGGCACCCGAAGGCCCACAGCTGTGAGGATATCTACACGGGGCAATGTGACACAGACTGTGCTGAAGCGGAGGCCCAACATTCAGATTCTAGGTCCAGCTGTGGGAGTGAGTGTGGCGATGGTCTCAGAAATGTTTCCCCTGCAATTAGGAGAAGCGCATCAGATTTTTCCAGCCTGTACAGGACCATGCATCACATCCAGCGGCCCAGCTCGACCGGCTGCAGCCCACACGGCAGTGTCCGTAGCCTGACCTCGCTTTTTGAAAAACCAAAGGACAACGGGGATGAGAGGTCAGAGGCAGATGATGGGGGTAGCATTCCACGGGATACTGTATCCTCACGGGTCAACGAGTTTGAAATGATTATCCAGCGCTCCACCTCGGCTCCCAGCCGCTCCTCCTCCTTGCCCATCCTGCACTTTAGCCACAGCCACAGCCCCAGCCACAGCCCTGCCCACCTCTACATGGCCTCTGCAGTGTCAGCAGAGTCCCTTTTAGTGGCCAACAACACGCAGGCTGATGTCTGCAACCTGGACGAGCAGGAGGCCAAGAGCTCTGGGGAGGAGGACATGTCACCAGAAAGTGTGATGGTGGAGGAGGCTGCTTCGTCCACTGAGGACAGACATGACAGCAGAACTGAATCCCCCTGTAACACAGAAGCAGAAGTTGAACAAATCCTGAGAGAAATTTCCCCAGAACTAAATCACCAAAACATCAGTGAATCAAAGAGCCCCTCAGTGATGCTTACAGCATCTCCTCCGCAACACAGCCATCTCCACCACCACCACCACCACCACCTCCTGCACCACTTGAACAATCAACTCCTCCTCAAACCCAGCAAATGCAAAGGCTCTTGCCCAGCTTCCTACACCCGCTTTACCACTATCCTCAGGCATGAGAGGCAGCAGGCCACGAACCAGCAGGAGAAGCAGCCACCCACAGAGAAGAAGACCACACTACCTGGAAACCTCTTCCTCATGGGCCCCGCTCCCTTCAGGTTACGGAAGAACCCACAGTCCCATCAGACTCGGAGGATGTTGTTAGCCACCAGGGTGCCAGCGGGCACCCAGAGGCCTATCAGTCTCTCGCCTGAGCTCAGACCTTCCATCCCTCAGCGTCTGTCCTCCCTGGAGGTTCTGGAGAGGCTGAGTAACGGAGAGGAAAACAACACTGGCTACCTGAGTAACGGGCAGGGCTTGGACGCCAACGGGAACCTACTGCAGCCGCTGGCAGCTCACCGCAGAGGTGGCTATCTCCATCCCTTCACCACTTGTCACCCTCCCTCCCTGTGTGGTCTTTCATTTATCTTGACTCTATCTTCACCTTGTGTCCCTTTTCTCCACAAAGCAATGCCACCACCTTCCATCTCCAGTCTGTGTGGTGTGTTTACAAAGTGACAGGGAACTCTCCATTTCATTATGAGTGTGCTGTTCGGTGCCCTTCCATTTCACTGTCAATGAGTATGGTCCCACAAATGCATCAAAACACTTCAGTGACTGTAGGGGAGGTTCAGGAAGCTTTTGGTAACGTATATAATCCCTGGACATCAGATTTGAGTTGTTTGCATGCTGCGTAGGTCTGCATAGGCATTACATCAAAAACAAGCAGTATTTTATTATATTATGCGATGTAATGTTAAACTTTGAATGCATTACCTTGCATTGAAATGCCCATCCTATGTAAAAGCGACATTTCTAGGAATTGACTCTGATATTTAGGCATTTAACAGAGCAAAGGCTTTCTCAAACTGATGTCTTATTGTGTCCATTTTTGTACCCTCTCTGCTTTTTGGGACTGTCCACATCTACCATGTTTCATTCCTTAGCCTGTCAGGATGTTTCCTGCTTTAACTTATCTCATATAACAGATGCTACTCTGAGCATCTGATAGAAAGCCTGAAGCATTAACAGCTGTTTCTTGTGGCCCTCACTCGGACACAAAATGAAACATCTATGGTGGTATGGCGGTGTTAGCAATACTGAAAGGATTCTTTAGTAAAATAGTGGATGCTGGTTGGTCGATCAACATCAGTCAAGTCATGATGTCACATTTATTTATTTTGACCATGACACAGTAGGTTACATTGTTTCTTTCCTGCATTTCTTTTTTTCTTTGTCATGAACACACATTGGGTCATTCTGTGTTCATTCCTACGTGCATGCAGGATTTTTCTTTTTTTAACGTGCGTGTGCTGTTTGTTTTAGTGGTGCAAAAATAAAAGATGTTTATTTAAATCATGCATGGTTATATTTTTTGTATTGTTTTGAGATTTTTTTTCACTTAAATTGAGAGTTTTCTGCAATACCATCTTCTTTTGTTTGAAAGCTGGCCTTGAGGTGGTCAGTGAGAACGCTTCACGGGATAATCGCCTCACGGTTTCTGTTTCAGACTCCTCCCCAGCTCACGGAGAAAGCCAGGATGAAGTTTTGAGGAGGCGTCATGGGGACAAAGAGGTGAATTTTCTTCAACTTTAATCCAGACTTTCATAACTGATGCCTCTCAGTGCAAAATTCATGAATTAACCCTCTGAACACAAATACTTTGATAAAGATTATTGTGAAACATGAGTGTTATGCCTAACAAAGGATCTGTGAATAAAAGAGTAGAGACCCATATCTGGAATGTGCAAACAGTTCAGTCTGGTTTCCTGGCAGAAAATCTTGGAGGAGCAGCGGCGGCTGAAGCGGGAACAGGAAGAGGCTGACACAGCATCGAGGCGACACACGAGCATTGTCCCCACACACCACCAGTTCATCACCAACGAGCGCTTTGGAGACCTGCTTAACATCACAGATAACACAGAGAAAAGGAAATCGGGCATAGAGGTACAATGCACGGCAGTGTCTTATCCTTGTGTAAGCAGGAAGAAAGACGGCAGATGCTTTGTCACTTTGTGAGTCAGGCTGTGGGGGGAGGTCTCTGCAGGCACAGATGGCTTTTCCACTCCTGGTCAAAAATTCATGATAGAAGGCAACATTTGACCTGTTTATCACTGGAATATTTCCCATATACATTTTGATTCAAGTTGCAGAGTGGACTCAGTTTACCAGCTATACGTCCAGAGTGGCAGGGCATGCATGCTGTTTCGCACATTACACACAATAGCTTCTAACTGAGCATGCCTCCGAGGTCAAGTCATCCTTTCAGTCGCAAACATATCATTCTTCCCATTGCTAGAATATTTATGTTCAGAGAGGCCAGTGCAGATTTACAGCTAACAACAAATTCCAGGAAAAGCTTTTCATAGTGCACATAAATGCCAAAGCCCAGAGAGCGTAGTAGCCAAAAAGAACAAAGATGGAGGCATTTAAGGTATTTAGCCTTCAGGGAAACTTTCACTCACTCAGTGCGATTCAGAGAATAACACTGGTGTAGCTGCTGCCAAATAGTAACAGTCACAGACGTTTATTTTTGTTTTTATATATCTACACAGAAAACGCCCGCCATGGCTCGCTTTGACTTCAGAGCAGAAACTCTAAAGTAAGTGGAAATTATGAGAATTTATATGTATATATTTTTTATAGAAAATACCATAAATGCATTGAAGCTCAAAGCAGCAGCAAGGATAACACCACCAATGAGTTAAATATTTGCCTAGTGGACCTTAATTAAGTAATTTTAAGTAATATTTTTAAGTAATATTAAGTAATTTTTTCAACTTTTAATAAAGTAGTGCCAAAAAAATGTAACAATCACAGAAAACTACCATTTGACCGTGAAGTGATGCTGTATATTCCACCCATGTGATCCTCAAAGCGTCTCAATCTTGTTACACTATGAGAGGTTAATCTCTAAATGTGTGTTGGTTTTGTATTTTCAGGGAGCTGCCATTTCAGAAGGGAGACATTGTGTACATCATTCGACAAGTTGATCAGAACTGGTATGAAGGTGAACATCATGGAAGAGTTGGTATTTTCCCTCGAAGCTATGTTGAGGTATATTGCCTGTTAATGTGTGTTATTTGTGACTCATAGTTCATATCTTTTTTAAAGCATTTCAGAATCGATTCTTTTCACAATTTATGCCCTATTTTATATTCTTGGTTGGTCACATTTGGGTGTTTTGTCTGCTTGCACAGCTCCTCCCCCCCACAGAGAAAGCACAGCCAAAGAAAAGTGCCCCAGTGCAGGTGCTGGAATATGGAGAAGCTGTCGCCCGCTTTAACTTCACTGGGGACACAGTTGTGGAAATGTCCTTCAGAAAGGTGTGACTTAATAAGAGTTATTATAAACTATTAACTAGCGGGTTTTTATTCCCTTTCTCTTTTAATCCAAACAAGGATTTTTTAAAACCCTGATTAGTGGATCTGCCTGTGTGTGTTCAGGGAGAGAGGATTACACTGATTCGCAGAGTTGACGAGAACTGGTATGAGGGCAAAATTTCAGGCACCAATCGTCAAGGCATTTTCCCCGTCACCTATGTAGAAGTTCACAAACGACCACGGGTCAAAAACGGGGTGGAGTACCCGGATCCACCTGTCAGCCATTCACCTCAGCGCAGCACCAATGCTTCACCACAGGTAGGGACTCAAACACACTGATCACTGAGCAATTTCTCTTACCACCACCTCTGTGTGCTTTTAATATCCAAAAATGATTTTCCTTCTACACACACCTCGACGCCCACCTTTTAATTTGTGTTGTGTAGAGATTTTGTCTTTCATTTGCTTTTTCTTTCTCTTACCCCTCTTCCTCTCTCTGTCTCCATCATGCCCTAAAAAGCTGTACCGTAATCGTCTGACCACCTCCCCTCTGCCTCTCCCTCGCTCCCCCCGCCGCTCTGTGTCCCCTGAGGTCCATGCTGTCTCCTCTGAGTGGATCTCCCTGACTGTGGGAGGTGGGAGTCCCCCTGCGGCTCCCACTCCTCCGCTGCCACCACTGCCCACTGTGTCATACCGTTGGGGCGAATACCTGCCCCCACCTTTCTCTGCCAGCCCCGTGCCTCCCATCACTGGCAGCCCATACTGCGTCTCCCCCATGGCCTCCCCATCCGCCTCCCCTCTACCCCCGCCTTACCCACCCAGACCCAACTCGACCACCCCCTCCCTCACATTTACCCCGCCTCAAGGGGAGGACTTCCTGCTCTCTCCTTCCTCCCCACATGTGTCACGTAGTGTGAGCCCCAGCAGTGGGCCGGTGCTGGAGTGCTGGCTGAGGGGGGAGAAGGAATTGACAGAGGGGGAAGGCGCAGAGGGGGACAGGGGCCGCGCAGGCCCGGGCAGCAGGCGAAATAGCCCTGCAGAGGTATCTTCTGCATGGTGTGTGGTGTTGCATCTGAAGTTCACTCTGGAACACAGGCTTATGCCACAGTTTGAGACATTAAAGTAGATTTTCTTGCGTACTGACGCAGACATTTTTGTGGAGAACTAACTGGTAGATCTGACCTGAAGGTGATTTTAGCCAATAGCTGGTTTCAGTTTTAAAGACAGTAACTGAACTGGTCACTTTGCTTACATATGCAAGTCTGCATGGTGTTGTGTGTGAGCCACTAATATGCAAATGGTTTACTGTGTTTGAGTGCTTATGTATTAAGTCTTAGATTTCCTAGCTGCAGAGAGCTGTAAGACAAGTGTGTTTGCATTTCCAGGGTTGATCTGCAATAATAATAAGTTCTGATTTTTATACTGTAAATTTCAGCGTACAGATGCATGTTGTTGTTCCGTGCACAAGCTTGACAAGTTAGATGCTTCTGTTGGTTGGACGTTTTTTTGTTTGGACAGTGACAAGCTGCCGTGAAGCTGAAATATCCACCTGCAGGAAACTTGACTCACGCTGGAGTTTGATCATATTCGCAGCACGTTGATATGCAGTGCAAGGCTTTCATTTTGAATTCCTTTTTTTGTGTTACAGTTTGTAAAAAATGAGGCCGACCATCATGGACGAAGCACCAGAAGCCCTGTGATGCTGTTTGATATCCAAGATAACAACAATGTTAACTCGTTTGCGGTAAGGTGATAGAAAGTGTTCCTGAACCTCTGTTAAAGGTTTACAAAGAGCATGTGTAGTTTGCTACCTGACTTCATCTTGTGCCATCCTAAACATACCACCTTAACAGATCCATTTGACTCACAGCACCTTGAACTCCCATACATATTAGACGTATGATATAACAGAAGTTCAACTTACTCTCCTGCTGAAGTTATAGTTAAATATCAATCATTTTGCAGCTGACGAAGCCGCTATAGCTAGCTTAGCATAAATACCAAAAAAATGGGGAAATGAAATGTATCCAGAGCTGATAAAATTCTCCACCAGCATCTCTAAAGCACAGTTATTGTTCTAATATGTAGTCTTTATGTCAAAATTTAAAATGCAGCATGGCCGATCAAAACACAGATGAGTTTTTTTTTTAAGAAAATTATGTGAAGCTACCCTTAAATTACTGTTTGGCTTTATCATTAAGTATAAGCCTGAGCCTTTAAGTTGTCAAGCTAAGCTAACAGGCTACCGACTTGAGCTGTATATTGAATGTACATCAGTCTGCTCACAGAGCTTTTAGCAGCAAAGAGGTTATTTTGTTCCTTCAAGCTGAATCTGTCAGCCCACCTTTAATACTGCGTGCACTTACTGCCTTATATCCTGTACAACTGAACTAATATTTCATGTTTCCTGTCTACATGCTTCTACTGGTGACCTTCCATTTCATGCCTCTTCTCCCGGGTTGGGCCAACACCCCCTCTACCTTTTCTCCTGGCTTTTAACGGATCACATCCTTTTCTGTCTTGCTACTCACCGGACCTACCTTCCTGTCTTGCACTTTACCTCCCCTTCTCTAACTCTTCACCTCCCCTCCTCACCTTCACCTCGGCCTCCTCCGGGACTCTCGGTGGGCCGGGTCTCTCTCTCTTTTCTGACGACTTCACCTACTACTACTACTACTAGGAGGCAGTGTGTAATGAGATCTTGAATATAGCTGAGACCTCGGTGAGGTACTGCAGCACCCTGTCCCACCACCATAATGACTCTCTTCATAGACTGCACCCCCACCCCAGTAAACAATCTCTCATCATTTCCCAGCAACCCCAGTCACACAGCAGCAGCCCGGAGCCGAACCGTCTGAACTGTGGAATGTGAGTAAGATCTGTTTCACGTTTCAGACTCTTATTAATATTCTAGGTAAAGACAGACCTTTGCTGATTTCACACTTTGTGTCTTCCCTGCTTCATGCCGCTCCAGATTTCAGGCTTTGTACAGCTACGTGCCGCAAAACGACGACGAGCTGGAGCTGCAGGAGGGAGATCTCGTCAGCGTCATGGAGAAGTGCGATGACGGCTGGTTCGTTGGTATGTGTCACAGGCCTAGATTCCTCAGAGATGCGGTCACACTCGGTGTGTCACATTAATCTATATAGGGTTTCTGCAAAATGCCAAAAAAGGACTGCACGCGTGCAATGTGCAGGCTCAGGGTTCTTTCAGCGTGTCATCTCCTTCATATATAGAGTTTCTAAAGAATGACAGCAGAGGATTGAGTGCAGTGTGCATGCTCAGGTCCTGTACAGAATTTTAAATAAAGCTCAAAGGGGTTATTTTGGTACTAACACTGAGGTCATGTAAGCATTAGAAAGAATCTGATCAATGTTCATCTTTCTTTTCCTCCACAGGTACATCAAAGCGGACAAAACAGTTTGGGACTTTCCCGGGGAATTACGTGAAGGAGGTGAAACTGTAAAGCTATCTAATCTGGCTGTAACACACGGTTGCCTGTCAAGCTTGGGAAGTCATAACTACCGCGCATGGCTGTTGGTTAGAATAGTCATTTAGCCGGGCGAATATTTTTATCTGGGAAAGTGATCAGATCGGCTCCAGGTATGTCAAACTGCACGAGGCGAAGACGGGGACAGCTCACTGCCCAAACACCTCCATCACATTTTACGCACGTCTCCACAGAAGTCATCGGTCTCCATACGTGGAATTTCTCTGTGAAAGCCTCCTGCAAATTAGCTTTTCGACGTACACGTAATAGCTTTTATTGTGTGTGTGTGTAATTTTACAGTATGCAAGAGTTTGCGTAGCACCTCAGTCTAGAGGCAGGCAGCAGAGCAGTGTATGGATAAAAGGAGTGGATCTTATTACCTGAACTGGACCTGGGGAGGCGTCAGAATGTGTTTTGATCTTTCAGGGCCAGAGGTGTTTAACACCGCTGGCAAAGTATGATGTAAATCAGGTATCGTGAATGAAATTGATTCGATTTAGCTACTTAAAGAAAACCTGTAATATGATCAGATCACTCTATGACCCTGTTAACCAGACAGTTCCCTTAAAAAAACAGCTTAAAGTCAGTGCCCTTGGTACTCTAAATACTTAAAGCCTTATGTAAAATGACCCTTTTTAAAATATTAAACTATTTTCCTCCACATTTTCTGAATCATCAGAAAAGTCAGTATTTGCCTCACAGCATTCACAACTCATTGTAGCCCAAGTGTGTTACATTGAATACAGTATTGTCTTCATTCTCTATCCAAAGGTTGCTACAGAGAAGTTATTAACAGCCGTGTGCATGAGTAGAAACTCTAAAATGTTGATGTGTGCTGCTGGCTTCTCTTTTTCTCAGTTTCCACTGCAAACACATATTACAGGACACGCAGATTTTATTGCATGTGTCATAAAAGTGAAACAAAAACTGTGTATATGCACATCCTATATTTTGTATATTTTAAAACTGTGTTTGCTGATTATTGATGCCTTTAAGGTAGCCGATGGTAGACGCCTAGCTTCAGAGCAACCACAGGACAGGCGTGGTAGCACTTAACTTCCTGTTTGGTCATTTAGGAAGATCGCTCCTAACAGTGTAATAGCACTGATGACCTAAAACTCTTTCAAGTTTTAAGTCAAAGCCAACAAGGTGTCTTAGTAAATAATCAGTGATTTTTTTTTAGAGCGTATTGAGATTTTAACTGTGCCCTTACTGACATGATTGTATATGTAAATGCGTACAGAGAACTGTATACGTACGGCTGCACATTTTCATTCATAATGACTACAGTTGTAAGGTCAGCATTAATACAGCATGCACTATAAGATCATTGAGAGACTGACAAATCACACTGGAGCATGAAACACTATCAGCCAGCCAACACCCTAATAATTGCACTTTTAACTTAAAGAAAACAGAAGTAATGACGCGGTGAACGCCGCTTTTTTGAGCCTTTAATGGCCGATAGCCGATGGAAGATTGCTTTGATCTCCGCTACCAAAGCATCAGAGCCGTCTTCCTGCAAATACGGAGCGCCCACATCTCCAGCGCCATCAGATCCGGTAACATGTCAGAATAGATCCTACACACACAAACACACGAGCGCCCTCACATCATCAGCGTCTGCGCCGTGCAGAGCTTTCGGGTAGTGTGTCCAAAAAAACCCTTAGTGCTTGTTATGACCTGCTCGGAGCAGCAGACTGGGGTAGTTCGTTGCGCAATTGCTAAAGAAGTATTTTTATCTAATCGTACTTTATGTTGGGAAGATTGATGGTAGTGAGCAGTGGAACTCAGAGAAGCGCTGTCATCACCTTCTTATCCAAAAACTCAAATTAAAGGGCCTACAGTGTAGCTGTTTATGAACACACAAAATCTGAAAGATAAGCTGAAGTATAGAAACATAAGACAGATAAGACTTATTAGATCTAGAAGCGTATGTCGACAGTGTCTTTGTTTTTTGCACCATGATGTGTTAGCTACAGTTGTGCATGTGGCCACCACGTAGGTCATATCTGAACTTTATTAATTGATGAAGTACATTCATTTAAGCCAGGTCAGTACAATCAGTGTTTCCTGTGAGATTGGGTTTTTCTTCCTGTGCAGATCACAACCGCTACTTTGCCAACATCAGCAAAAGAAATGTTTTCCCAGCGAGATATCACACGGAATATATTACACTGCAGTGTGGGTTTGCCTTTTTATCACACTGTTTTTAATGTCCAGGCATTTCATTTTATCACAAAAGCGTGTTTTGTTTTTTATTTTACCTCCGCCTCTGTAACTCCAGCTCTTCATGAAAGTGTTGATTAGTCGGGAGTCTGCTGAGCTGTCGCCTTTCGAAATAAATCCTGTTGCGACGTAGAGAGGTTTGCTCCTTCTCAGACACACTGCACGATGGGCAAATAATCACTCGTTTAGTGACAAAACAATTGGCAATAGATTGTTTCTGTGATTTTTGTCCGTAAAACGTCACGGGATGTATGAATGTATGAATATATGAATGTGTTGCAGGCAGTGTAAACATGTAAAAAAAACAAAAAAACGTGTGAAACGTTATTGAACAGTTCGGCAAATGAAGGATTGTAAATATGTAAAATAAAAAATAGACTGCGAGCAATAGGAGCGTCAGATTGAACTCTCTGTCACTTGCAGTGGTTTATTTTGCCTGAAGGATTTTTTTGTTTTGTTTTATTGGCAAAGCACAGAGTGGAGCGTTACTGAGCACAGAAAGATTAAACATTACGCTGCCATTTGTGAGGATCATGTTGCCTTATGTTTGAAAAATTGTGCCTCATTTTCTTTTTTTTCAGTATCACTGAAATGTATCCATGACGTATTTTGTGTAACCCTGATTTTCCCCGTTTGTTCGAGTCTCTGTGACGGGAGAACATTTACTAAGAACTTGTCTGTTACTGTACAAGAACCTAAAAGTGTGACATAACGCTTCGACATGATTAACACTCATGAAAAACGGACGCACAGCCTGCAACAGGTTTGGTTTGTTTGCTTCAATTTGCAGTGCTGTTACATTGACAATATTAAAATAAAGATACTATACACTGCTGTGTTCGGTATTATGCAATATTTAATAAACCATTTAAACCATTGCATGTGTTGCCAGTTTTGTTTTTTGAAAAAAATCTGAGGGGAAAAGTCCGTTTTTAGCATTGGCCAACTTGTTCCGGCTGTGTGAGCATGTGAGTTTTCATCCTGGCTCATTAGAAAGAGTGTTGGTTTAGAAAATGTAATAGACGAAAACCTGCAAAGACGAACAATGAATTCTGCACTGTATATTCAAGTGTTTAAAGTAAATTACTAACAGTATTTTAAGCACTTAAGTTGCCAAGTTAAATTGTTTTTCTGGACACAGGATCACCGGGGTCCTAAATATAGCCCCAGCCACTTCACTGGGTACACCTCTTTGTCTAGTTAAAATAACTCTCTGATCAGCTGATCTCAAAAGCAGTTCAGTACATTTCGGGAAGGGGGCGTGCCAACTTGCTGAAGTTCAAACCAAGCATGAAAATGAGGAAGAAAGGTGATTTAATGACTGTGAATGTAGCATGGTCATGCCAGTCAGGCTCGTCTGAGTATTTCAGAAACTGCTGATCAGCTGGGATTTTCCAGCACAGCCATCTCTGGGTTTGCAGAGAATGATCTGAAAAAGGGAAAATCTCTGATTCAAATAATACTTTGTTACAACCAAAGGATGCAGAAGAGCATCTCTGAATGCACATATCAAACCTTGAAGCAGATGTGCTACAGCAGCGGAAGACCCCACTACTGACAGTTAAAAACAGGAAACTGAAAAACTACAGTGTACATCTTCTGATGGTTCTTTCCAGCAAGATATGCCCTGGTGTCCTAAAGCTTAAATAATTTCAAACTGGTTTCTTGAACATGTCAGTGAGTTCAATCTAATAGAGCACCTTGGGAATGTAGTGGAACGGGGGATTTGCATGATGTAAAGTGTGTGATGTTATCATGTGAGCGTGGACCAGAATCTGAAGAATGCTTCCAGCACCTTGTTGAATCTGTGCCAGATGAAGGCCAACCCAGTATCAGCAAGGTGTAACTAATGAAGTGGGTGTGGGGGTTATGTTTGGTTTGTTTGTTTGTTTTGAAAAAGCAGATCTTCAAACTTTGCCTACAAGACGGGTTCGAAGGGGAGCTGTTCACCTCTGGACTGTTGAACGTCAGCTGTGTTATCTGATGATCATTTCTGATGTAGTGCAGTGTTGTGGCTGCACTCAGGAAAGTGGGTGAATGCTGTTGGGTGAAATGAAGCAATAAATGTCAGACTCCTGTAATCACAGTGAACAAATGCTGAAAGCCGCTCAGAGTCCTGCTGACAGAACAGCCAGAAGCACTTGATCCATATCCACTTGAACTGATAACAGCGTCACTTTAAAACAGGCTCACAGACTTTTTGGCATACCTAACATTACAAAGCAAAACCCACAAGAAAGGACGTGTTTCATTCAGTTTGGCCGCCTTGCCCCCCCCTTTATTTTTTTCCTCCACTTTCAGCAGAGGCCCTCTGGCAGGAATTCAGTTTTTGGGAGCGGCACATTCCACATCCTGGGATTTAGCTCTACCATAAATGGTAAGTTTGCACATAACACGGTGACGCAAGGGCAGGCCGACGTCTCTAAAACGAACTGAAGCTCTTGTGAGAGGTCCAAAACAGGAAGAGGTACCACTCTGCTCTGCTTTCAGAGAAACGTCCTTTCATTAAAAATAATGTGGTCATCGCAAAGTTGCACTTTTTTGTTGTTTAATATCAGTTTAATAATAATGAAAAATTAAATTAAAAGCAAAGAATGTTTAATTTCTTTTTTGGCCAAACTTCACAGTGTATGATGCAAAATCTTTGATATTATTTTGTGTTTTAATACTTGCCATCAATTGTGGTTCTCTTATTTGTACATCCAGGCATCAGTACCAAGAATCAGTAGTAAATTGTCACCTTAGGTGTTGTAGCTGACCAAATGCAATGATAATACTTTACAGTACTGTATTATCAACCTTCGCTGAATGGGAGGATCGGCAGTGTCCTGCAATTTCATATGATGTTATTCTGAATTACTTTGTGCATCTTCTCGGTAACACAGGAACTACAGCACTTCTGAGTTGTATCAGTATCTTCACAGTGTTACGCAATCATTCACCACGAGGATGAAAATTAAATGGTGTTTTTTTTAAAGTGAGCAATCAGGCCGATCAGTTCGTCAAGCCGCAGAGCATGAGTTGGCAAAGTGCTTCACATCTTCCTCATTATTCTGAGGAAACACTACAAGTTCCTCCAAAAAAGGTCTCAGTTATGTTCAACAACACAAAGTTCCTGCCTGAACACCTTTAGCTTCCAGCTTCTAGGTTAACGCAGCAGAATTTCATGGACACAGTGAGGCTGTGGCCTTCCAGTGGTTAAACTGCTTTGGTGTGCACAAAAGCACAGCTGTCATCATACAATGTAATGCTTTTCTAGCATTGCTGACCACTCAAAGTGTTTTAGACTTTGATTTGTTTTATTCCACACACTGTAAACACCTTATCGAGCCCTCACAAATAGCCCGGTTAGAATCATCAGTTAACATGCATGTCTTTGGACAGGGGAGGAAGCAAGAGCACCAGAGAAATTAAACGAAAGGCCCTAAAAGGCCAGCTGAATTTAAAGGAGTTCCTGGAGATCAAGCAATCTCCGTTGGAAAGAAGCTGCTGTCCGTGGGGTCTCTTCAGAAGTAATCGTTCTGATGTGATGATAACAAACGGGTCACCATAGCCACTGCAGTGGAACTGCTTAATATAAAAATTAATTTCTTCTCCTTACTGCTAGTAAAGGAAGATTAGACCACTGTGATTTAAGTTAGTGTTTTCTTTCAATAAGGAAATTGTATGGTACTGATATTTAGAGATGTGATTTATTCATGAACTGTATTTGGATAGTCATCAATTAACATTTTCCGCTGGGATAGACTCCCGATTTGGATGAGCCGAAGATTATGGGTGGATGTATGTGCCGATAAAGAACAATAAATTAAAAAAACAGAGAGATTAATCACATTTATTTATGTACATCAACAACAAAAAATGTAATTCAAGGCACAACGAGCATTAAAAAATGCAAGTTATAGGATAAAGATCTTTGAAGTATTCACCCGTCTGCCTACACATGCATATGAATTTGAGTGGCAACCCACTCTTAATTCATAGGGTTTAAATATGATGTCAGCCCACCCTTCACATTATAATAGCTTCAGCTCTTCTGGGAAGTCTTTCCTCAAGTTTTACACGTTTATGGGAATTTCTGACCATCATTCCAGATGCACATTTGTGAATTCAGACACTAGCGTTAAACGAAAAGGCCACAGTCTCTGCTCTAATTCATCCCAAAGGTGGTTTTTTTTGGATTGAGGTCAGGACTCTGTGCAGGCAAATTACACTATGCACAGTGCAGTCAGACAAATACCGTTCTCCTGGAAACTGCCATACCCAGACTTGTCCATTGGATTGCCAGATGGAGAAGTGTGATTTGTCACTCCAGAAAACATGTTTCCACTGGTCAGTGAAGGCGTGCTTTACAACCACCGCATCCAACTCTTTGCATTGCACTTGGTGGATGTACCTGCTCGGCTATGGAAACCCATTTCTGGTGAACTTGGCCCATTTGTCAACCAATCAGCATTTGACTGAAGAGCAGCATCATCCATGACAAGCAATGTGTAGTTGGGATATTACAGGGGAACGTGTTTACACTGGCACGTTTGCCCCTCTGTAGACTCTATATGCTTCATTTACGTTACCACGGTTGTGTCCATACACATCTGCCTGGCCTGTTCAGTACCGTCCTTTCCTCTTCCTCTGTAGCATTGGAAGGATGCAGTCACTGAATTGGGACCAAGCTATAGCATGCTTCAGTGCTTCACATTGGCACTCTTAAAAAAATAAACAAACTCCAACACAAGTAAAAATTCCAAAAGGGCTAAGCTGTGCAGACATCCACGTGCCTGCTTGTTTTTGCGACCACGTGGACTTGTCTGCAGAGACTTCAAAGAAGGGTAACAGGATTTACTAGTCTGCAGGAGGTGTTTCCAGCTGCCCGTGTCTCAGTATAATCAAGGCTTAAAGTGACAAGATAAAAACATAATTAACAAGAATTAATAACAACTACAGATGTAATCAAATTAGTGACTTCTTATAGTATTTTTTTCTTCTAAATGTTTTCTTTGCCATCATTTTTCTTCTGCATTTATGAAGAATTGACCCTTCTAATCCTCATCCTCTGCTTGTGTTTTGGATCCATCATGCTCGACAAATGTGGGCGCTTATAAGTGTGCAGGGTGTGCTTCAGAGTGACTCAAGCAAAGTGTTGAAGCCCAGTCAGGATGTGATTCATCCATCACATATGGTGGTTCACCTTCAAGCAGACATGCTGACTTTAGCAGTCCTTACAGAAACACATCCAAAACGAAACAACTTACTCCCAGTCCAGCGCAAATTCAGTCTTCACATGCTTCTTTTAACCTTAGCAGCAATACTAAAGACACCCTTGCACATTCAACACCAGACCAGTACCAGGAAAAGTTTGATTTTAATAATCACAACAATGTAAAGTGACTTGGTTGAGCTTTAACTGCTCCAGGCAGAATTACAGGCTCAAACATGCATTCTCTTTATCACACCAGCATTACTAATGCGGCCATTAGCAGTGCAAAGATTGTGAATCCTGAAATCACTTACACGTCATGCTCAAGTCTAACCATGTCTGTGTAGATTCTCAGTCATCCAGGTCATGTTGGTCTTGAGAGCTTGTCTTTTTTTAAGTTTTTGAAGACGTTTCGGCCCTCATACAAGACATTTCTTCTGTTCTAAAAACAAAAGGTGGAGTTTCCCAAGCATTTAACCCATAAAGGCAGCGTCCTCTTTGGAGGTGGTCCTGAAGGACCCATATTGATCGTGTGAGTTGTGTGAAGAAAGGCGTGGGTCATTGCCATCACTGGGGGTTGAAACCAGGTTTACCTTGAAAATATTATGTTAATCTTAAACGACTTCATGGTTAAATAAAATAAAGATTAAACAAACAAATAAATAAGGGTGAAACAACTGT